AAGGGCACAAGTTAAAAATGCAATAAATGCATTTTTTGTAATAAATTTGTGTTAAAATAAAAGTTAATCTTTAATTTTTCAACTGTCTAATTAAATTCATCAATTTATCACTGATACTAAAATTAATATCAATTTTTACAATTTTTGTATATATATTTATGATAAAAAAAAAGTTACCCTTAATCTATGCCCTAAGGGCACAAGCTAAAAAAACACTTTATTAATTTGAAATATGTTATATATGTGCATTTACTCATTTAATAATATATAAAAGTTAAATAAAAAAATTATATAAAAAAGTTATCCTTATACAACATTAAAAAAAAAAATGAACAAATAGAGAAAGAAAAGAAAGAAGTTGTCCCTATATCACTTGAGGCTTCCTTTTATTTTTCTTTTCTTTTCTTTCTCTTTTTTTTTTTAAGTGATATTGGGACAATTCTTTTATACCACTTTTTATATAATTTTACATATCATTAAATGAGTGAATGCACTTAATATCACAGGTTCCAAATAAATAAAGTATTTTTCTAACTTATGCCCTAAGCTATTTTTTTAATCATATATAATTTAAAAATGTAAAAATTGATATTAATTTTAGTTTTGGTGCTAAATAGATGAATTTAATTGGACAATTGTGAAATTAAATATTAATTTTTATTTTTTTAACACAAATTTATTACAAAAAATGTATTTATTGCATTCTTAACTTGTGCACTTATAGTATAGGTTAGACAAATTCATAAATAAAAAGAGTTAATTATTTAAATGACATGTAAGGTTGTATAAAAAAGTGATATAAAAAGATTGTTCCTAAATCTTTTCTTTTCTTTTCTTTTGTTTTCTTTTCTTTTTTTTTTTTTTTTTGCATCTAGGTGGACAAACCAAATGCCAAATCCCTTGCCATATAAGCATGACATCGCCATATTTCGCCACATGAGGCAGTCCTCGAACGATAGTTTAGTTGGCTATGAGAGTAGGGGTTAAATTGCTTTGATTGTAGAGTTTAGGGGTTTATATGCATCAATTAAAGTCTGGGGGCTTAATAATGATTCTAGGATTTATTCAAGGGCTTAACATATGGTTTTGCCAGAACTTTATCATCCATATTAAGCCAAAGGCTTTCTGTTACTTGCATGATGAACTTTGCTATGGGCCAAGAATTCCACGTTGGGATAGAAGTATAAGTGGTATATAAGTGTAAAAACTAATTATTACTAATAACTTGAATTTAAGTTTTTAAGAACCCATGAATTTTGGTTTAGAAAGTTGTTAGGCCAGTAATAAGTTTCAATTCATATTGTTTCAATTGATATCAAAGCAATCACTACCTCTCGCAAGTATGGGCTGATATTGACTATTAAAACTAGAGGTGGTGTAGACTCTATATTACTTGAGATAGATCTTGTGCTTGTGATTCAATAGGTCTTGTTTTAATTATAATTGAGCTTGATGAAGAGTGCTTTAAGTGGGGGGAGATTATGAGGTCCTAAATCCCATCAGGATAGAGGTTTAATAAGCCTTGTTCTAATTATAATTGGGCTTTAGAAGGACATCAAGCATTTTAAATGGAGGAGATTGTGATGCCCTAAATCTCATGTTAGGATAAAAGTATAAGTGTGACGCCCTAAATCTCACATCATGATAAAAGTATGAGTGTAAGTGGTCTATAATTGTTGGTATATAATTGTGAATATTAAAGTTTAAGTAGGGCTTTGCCTGATTTTTTCAATTGGTAGTTAAGCAGTTACCTCATTGTGATGATCTAAATCTTACATCAGGATCAGAATAGAAGTATAAGTGCAAGTGGTGTATAAGTGTCAGAGATT